TTGATTTCTTTTCTGCTTTGCATGTTCGATTTCTTTTTTGCTTTGATCTGCAGGTTTAATGCAAGTTTGAATTGAATTTATCAGTTAATTCCATTAACAAGAAGCCAAAATTCCAATTCAATTGAAATCTCAAAATCCTACCAAAATCCCAAAAATATTTCGGGAATGCCGAAATTTCGGTTTGGGATATTTAGCAATTTCTTCCTCCCATGTCAGTAATCATCTTTTTCCTCTATCACCCTTGGTGTCGAAACGTACAAGCCCTCTACTTTGGGGGCTTTGGAGAATCCATTCAAACTTCCAAATCCAAGAATCCAAGGAGCTAAAATGATGAAGATGAAGGCTATGGAGTCCAACTCAAAGAGAGGAATGAAGGCCCCCACTTTGGGTGGTTATCCTTTGTAAAGCAAAAGAGGAACTTCAAAGGTATAAAGAAATCTCAACTCTCATTATTGAATTTGAGTTGGGTACCTTAAAATAATGTATTTTATTCCCAAAGTATTGAAATGACCAAAATAGCCCTAGTTGGGTGTCTTGAGTAAGTATGGACCTCTTAGCTAAATCTTAATTTCTAATATTTTCTTATTTTGTTAAATTATTTACGTACTCACGAGTGCGTAGGCCGAAACAGAATCGAATTTAGAGTTACAGAGATTTAGTTGTGATTTACAGTACATGAAGGGTAAAATCGTAATTTGACCTTGAGGAAATTTCTAAATGCTCTTCTCAGTTTTCTAAAACACTTTTCCCCTCTCTAACTCTCTTTTTCTACAACTTTCTCCTACAACCTCTTCTCTCCACCAAGAACACCTTCTCACCACCATTCAATTCCTGATCGAATCCAACCCTAAACTCAGCAAATCTAAGCCCAACATGACCTTAGGATTCGATTTGGAGGCTTGCATGTGAGAATTGGGACTGGTAATAAGATGAACTCACTACACCGAAGTTCTCCGACAAGTTAAGTTCGAACTCGACGAAATCGAACTCAATCAAGTTTAAGATTTCCTCTAATGGAGTTCAGGTATCGATCTCATGCTTTGTTTCTCAAATTTAAGCTTGGAATCGAGGTTTCAACCTTTGTATTTTAGTGCATGCATTCTCAATTTCTTCGGCGACAAACTCTGAAGGAAATTCATTGAGTTCGAAGCCAATTTCAGTTTAAATTCTTAATAGGTTGAACTCAAATGAATTTTGTGAGAATTATGATGAATCCGACAAGGAGATCTGGTGAATTCATGTTGAATCCGAGATGGATTCGACCTCCAATTGCTTAAATTCAATTTTAGGTACGTCTATGGACTTATTCACAACCTCTTACCCAACCTCCTCAAGAATCCTCTTCACAACCTCCTACCCGGCCTCCTCGAGCTTCAAAAAGTGCTTAACCATCAAAATCAAGGGCTCCTTCAAGTCGTCCTAACTCTTCAACCACCAATGGTGTTAAGCATGAGGGGTAATTGTTGCTTTTATATGAAATTGAACTTAGTTTTTCATTTGGGTTGTACACGTGTTTACGTCCTAAGACATTTAGTTGAATTAATGACATAAGGCATTTATTTGAACTTTGATTCTTTTTTCATTTGGGTTTGTATGGCATAAGGAATTTACTTGAACTTTAATGTTGTTGGATTGAATTTGTTAATGATTGATATTGTTGAACTGAATTTGTTGACGATTGATGGATTAGAAAAATAGAGTTTTAATGGAACACTTCCGATACTTTTTATTTTTAACGAAAAACCATATGTTTACCTTTTCATGTACTATTCACTACATATTTATTTGTCTTTTTCTATTAAAACTAAATTTTTTTTTGAACTTTTGTTAGTTTTTCTTTGAAAAAAAAAAGATCTATTTTCATTATAAAAAAACTGCAACAAGCTAAAGCCCAAAACTATTTTTTTAAAATAAAAATAGGCTTTGAAACTGAAGGGCCTAAAAGAGAATTGGACTTGTCTGCATATGGAACAGAACTCTTAACATTCTTGTATGAGCTGAAGAATCTATGAGAAAAATAAACCCTAGTAATCTTGTAGAGGAAGAAAGAAAGCTGAATTGTATTCCTCTGATATTCTGTTTTTACACATAGAACCGACTCAACCACAAATGAAAGAATATAAAGCCTATTTATACCACATATTAAAAGTAGCTTATCTCTAAAGCTAGTGCTAACGTGGCAATTGCCTTATGTGGCACATGTATATCCAATACCCCCCCTCAATCTTAACCGGGATATCCCAGATTAAGATTGGTACAATGTCGAAGAAAATCGGGACCATGTAAAGCCTTGGTAAGTATATCTGCGATTTGGTCTTGAGTAGGTACATACTGCACATCCATATCTCCTTTTTGAACACGCTCTCGGACAAAGTGAAAATCTGTTTCTAAATGCTTGATCCTTGAGTGATGAATAGGATTCAAGCTCAATGCAATGGCAGATTGACTATCACACAGTAAAAGAGGTGGACTGGAAACAGTAGCACACAAATCACACAATATCAACCGAATCCAGGCAATATCAGCAGCAGCATGTGCAAGAGCTTTATATTCTGCTTCGGTGGAACTACGAGAAACAGAACTTTGTTTCTTGGATTGCCAGGAGATGGGATTGGCACCAAGATAGACAACATAACCGGTGATAGACCGTTTGGTATTAACATCAGCAGCCCAATCAGAGTCACTATAACCTCTGATATCAATCCCACTACCAGAAGTAAAAGTCAATCCACATTTCATTGTACCTTGTAAAAACCGAATAATTCGCTTTACCAAACCAAGATGAACATCAGTAGGAGCATGCATAAATTGGCACACAGTATTAACCGCAAAAGCAATATGTGGCCGTGTAAAGGTTAGATATTGCAATGATCCAACAAGGCTTCTGTACAAAGTAGGGTCTGTCAACAATTCCCCTTCAGCAACCAAAACAGAATTATGAGGCTTGCAAGGAGTAGCACATGATTTACAATTATCCATGCCTGCTTTATGAATCAAGTCCTTAATATACTTCTCCTGATGAACAAACATATCACCATTGGACTTGTATTGGATTTGCAAACCCAGAAAATATGTTAATGGACCCATGTCCGTGAGAGAAAAAACACCAGCAAGATCATCAATGACAGATTGAATTAAAGTAGTACTGGAGCCTATAAGGATGATATCATCGACATAGAGAAGTAGTATAACCACATCAGTACCCACTCGTTTAACAAAAAGACTAGAATCTGAGGAAGAAGTATGAAAACCCACGGCTGCCAAATAACCTGTAAATTTAGCATTCCAGGCTCGGGGAGCTTGCTTAAGCCCATACAAGGACTTAACCAACTTACACACATGTGTGGGACATTGAGGATTGACAAACCGTGGGGGTTGCTTCATGTACACCTCCTCATTTAACTCTCCATGTAAAAAGGCGTTTTTCACATCAAGTTGTCGGAGAGACCATTTATAAGTGGTAGCCAATGCAAGAATCATCCGTACAGTTGTGTGCCGAACCACAGGACTGAAGGTCTCTGTATAATCCAAGCCTTTTTCTTGACTAAAACCTTGAGCAACAAGTCGAGCTTTATACCGAGAAATAGTCCCATCAGGATTCCTCTTGATTTTATACACCCACTTACATCCAATGATGTTTTTATCAGAAGGAGAAGGAACTAGAAGCCATGTACCTTAGGTTTGAAGAGCATCATATTCATCTTGCATCGCAGATTGCCATTGAGGCAATTGAGAAGCAAGTTTAAATGTTGCAGGTTCAACAGAATCTGTAATATCGGCAATGAAGGTGAATCCTCCAGAAAAATGAGTGTCTGCATGTAAAGTGAGTGAGTGAACTTCAGGAAATGTTGCTGAAAGGGCAGAATAATCCCTCCTTGTTATAGCACCAGTTTTGAGTCGCGTTTGAATTCCCTGAGAAATAGAAGAACTAGACTGAGAAGCAACTGAACTTGAGCTGATATGATGGTCTGGAGCACTAGCAACAATATGAGGAGAAGAGGTTGACTCCAAGCCATGTGGACTTAATGAAGAGGACACAGATGCATTATATGGTTGAGCAGAAGAATCAATACCAGATTGAGACAGATTTAAGGCATCCAAATGAACGACAATAGGGCGTGACAAATGAGAAGTGGAAGACACACCATTATCAGAACACCTCGTATTAGAAAGAGTGGTGGCAAAAGGAAAGCAATTCTCATCATGTAGAACATGTCGAGAAAGAAAAAACTTTTGTGTCAACCTGTTAAAACAAATAGCTCCTTTATAACCAGAAAGGTAACCTAGAAAAACACATTGAGTGGGTCTTGGTTGAAGCTTGTGATCATTGTATGGCCTGAGATAAGGATAAATGGCTGAACCAAAGACTTTTAAAGATGAAATCTCTGGTAAAGTATTAAACAACTTCTGAAAAGGTGAAACCATACCAATAGTCTTGCTAGGCATTCGACTTATTAAAAACACCGCATGTGCCACAGCATGATACCAAAACTTATGAGGAAGACTGGCAGCTGTCAACAAAGTAATAGCGGTTTCTATGATGTGTCTATGCTTTCTTTCCACTAAACCATTCTGCTGTGGTGTATAAGGACAAGAAGTAAAATGAACAACACCATGATTAGCAAGATAATCCTTAAATGCAGTGCTCAGAAATTCTCCTCCTCCATCAGATTGTAAAACCTTAATCTTTGTGTTAAATTGATTCTCAACATAGGCAAAGAACTTGACAAATGTACCAAAAACCTCTGATTTATTCATTAATGGAAAGAGCAATACAAACCGAGTTGCTTCATCTACAAATGACACATAATATCTGAAGCCTTCTATAGATGCTATTGGTGAAGGACCCCAAACGTCACTATGAATCTTATGAAAAGGAATCTCAACTCTATCTAGTCGTTCAACAAATGGTAATCTACTCATTTTACCACTAAAACAATGAGAACAAGGTTGATCCGGTACATCATGACTAAAAGAAATATGTGAACTCCGAAGCATTGCTGTCAAGACATCATTAGAAGGATGTCCAAGTCTGTGATGCCACAAAGATGACTTTACTGCTTTGCCAACAAATGCAGAACAGGAAGAAGTACCTTGAGTCAACACCTTGGGAAAAATATGGACAGGAATGCGAAAGAGCTCACGATTGTTACTCTTTCCTTGGTAAAGAATCAGCCCCGTTGCTTTGTCCTGCACATAGAACTGAGTATCATCACAAATAAACCAACTGTGATTGTCTTTACACAACTGCTGAACAGACAACAAATTGACTGTTAACATCGGCACATGCAAGACATATCGAAGACATAAATTATGTGAAGATGTAGGTAAGAGGGCAGTCCCAATGTGGTTGACAGTTAAACCCTCACCATTGCCAACAATAATGCGTTTATCTCCAGTATAAGGAATAGTTGTATTTAACAGATTGACATTGGGACTCATGTGATGTGAGGCACCAGTGTCAAGAATCCAAGAACCATCACCAGAAGAAGTGTGTGCATTCAAGGCAGTGATATTAGATGAAACATCATGATCTTGAGAACTAGATAAAATAAGAGAAGACTGGCCTTGATTTACAGAAGCTTGAAAATCTGGAGGAACTTGTGGAGTAGTGAAAGGAACCCCTTGATAACCAGAAAGGTCAGGAAACTGAACTAGAGATGGAACAACAAGATACTGGAACTGAGAAGAATAATCTTGAAAAGCATAGTTGGCACTGAGTGAAGGAGGAGGGGGAGCCCCTTGGTAAGCATAGTTACCCCTGTGTCTACAATCAACTGCAATATGGCCCCTCTTACCACAAATCTGACATTCTTGCACAACCGGAGGAGTTTCATTTCTGTACAGACAAGTCACTGCCGTATGTCCTTTCCTTGAACAAATCTGACATTCAGGAACTACATTATGTCTAGTTGTAGTGTTACCAGACCAGTAATTAGCAGAGCGAGTACCATTGAACTTAGGTCGATAGCCACCGTTCCCTTTGCCTTTGTAACCATTACCTCCAAATGAATTGCCATAGTGAGAACCAGAAGAATTAGAACCACTATGATTAGACTGAGTACCATAGGTATTGCCAAAAGAAGTATGGCCAGTATTATGACCAAAAGGTCTAGGTCCCTGATTACCAAAATTATTTCTAGGCCCATTAAAAACATTGGCACTAGGAGGAGGAAACGGCTGACAAGTCTGAGAAGTTGAGCCACCTGAATTAGAGTAATCAGGAGCAACAAGACCAAAGCCAACATTGGAAGAAACTGACACCGTAGAATCAGAACCAGTAGAAGAACTGGATGCATGTAAAACTGGTTGATAAGCAGAATTACCACCAGAAGAAAATAAAACAGAACCATTACCATACATAGCTGCCATGCTGTGAACAAGAGACTGCATCCTAGCTTCTATAATCTTTTCAGCCCTTAAGAGTAAAGCCCTGAATTCTTTCAACGAGATAGGTGTATCTCTAGCCAATACCACAGTTCTGATCGTATCAAAGTCAGCAGGTAAACCAGTCAATGCAGCAATAACCAAATCATTGTCTGTAATCTTTTCACCAGCTGCAATAAGTTTGTCTTTAATTGTCTTCAACCTCAACAAAAACTTATCAACATTATCACTGCCTTTCTGAATAGTGTGTAACTCAGCTTTCAAATGATTCACAGTAGCACTCGAGACAAACATATATCTATCTTGTAAAGCAGTCCAAGCTTCATGAGTAGTTTTACAACCAACAACATATTCCATGGCATCATCACTCAAAGTAGCAATAAGAAGACTCAAAAGAGCCATATCAGTTTTAACCCAAGCTTTATAGGCAGTACTAATTTCATTGGTAACCCCCAATTCAGAAGTAATAAGAAATTTGGGAGGACAAACTGATTCACCAGTAAAATGATCAAACAAATCATACCCACGAAGAACAGAACAGAATTGAAAGTTCCACTTGATAAAATTGTCATCATTCAACTTAATAGTCAACATTCCCAACAGATTTTCAAGTTTAACCGAGTCAGTCATCATGCATGAGTAGAAATGAACACCACACAGAAATATGAACAAAAAAACCCAGAGAAATCGTCTTCCAAAACCCAGAAGGTAACAACAAGAATCTACAATCTTGATGAACAATTGGTTATCGACCTTAGTTCATCAACCAATATGAAATTAATTGGCATCGGCCTTCAAGAAAACAATCAAATCTTCAACTAAAAACACAATATGTGATGATTCATCGAGGCATCGGCCTTTAACACAAATGAATCCAAGAAATCCGAAAAAAAATCCCAAATTTTCTTCACAACAGAAATCCTAAATCGAGAGAAAGAATCAAGAAAATCTCACTGAGCAGCGGAAAGAACACAACCAGAATCAATCGCGCAAGCATATTTGGCTCTGGATACCATCTTAACATTCTTGTATGAGCTGAAGAATCTATGAGAAAAATAAACCCTAGTAATCTTGTAGAGGAAGAAAGAAAGTTGAATTGTATTTCTCTGATATTCTGTTTTTACACATAGAACCGACTCAACCACAAATGAAAGAATATAAAGCCTATTTATACCACATATTAAAAGTAGCTTATCTCTAAAGCTAGTGCTAACGTGGCAATTGCCTTATGTGGCACATGTATATCCAATAAGAACCAACCCAATAGATTTGGTACTAATTTGGTACTTCCAAGCATACCGAACCGTAACGAACCGGGCTCAGGCCTACTCCTAGAACATGTCCTATCTAAGACTTTTGTCCTTCATAAAGGCAGCAAATTAAAAACTGTCATGTATAAAATTATAAAAATAAAAAAAATAAAAATTTAATGTTGTTTAATTGTATTGTACGTATAACTCAGGTCAAATTGTAAAAAAAAATTGGCTATGGTACATGCATTTACTTAATACATTGTATCAAAGGTAACATAACGATCAACATATCATAGAAATTCATCTACTCACATGAGCTTCAAAAAGTCATGAAATTGAAGTTTAACAAATCTGTTTCAATGGAACCGTAGTGCATGGACCTTTTTACCCGACCCTGACCAAAGTCTACCTTCTAAAAATTGGTGTGGGATATCGAGTGTGCTGAGCTGAATTTAGAAACACGCAATTATCAAGGGGAGCAACCATAAAGTATGCTGTTTCACTCTCTTTTTTTCCGTTTGATTAGGTTCCTAACAAGATTTTAACAAGCCAGCATTAGAGAGTCCAACGTGATATCAATAATCTCAACAAGGGTTACACTCTTCTAAGTTCCAACTTGGCTACGATGTTTTTTAATGAGGTCACTAATTATTGAATCGGAGTTACAAAAAAGTGTCGTAAAATATATATGGTTGATGACTTGAATCAAGCTAGTGATTAGGGCAATCAGTAATATGAAAGGAGCGATTACCGTTGTTACCATTTACATTAGCTTAATTGATGAACAAGCATCCATTTCGGCCAAATTTTACCGGTGTCGGTTGTAGTGGGATAAGTGGAGTAGATATTATTATAATCTCACCAAACCTTTACCTTAGTAGTTGCGGTGATCAATCAAATACTACAGCAAGTAATATGAACCACCTAGTATGAGGTGTGAGGTTTTAGCCTCGGTGTTTTCTAATTATTCACTGCCTTGGCTTTAAGCTCGTCTATAACTACTTGATGATGTCTGTGGCTCTTCTGTTAGACTGAGAGAAGATCACGGTTTTGAAAGGAACTCCGCGGGATCAACTTCCTGGAAACTGCTCGAATCCACAAGGGCAGCTGCCAAAGCCAGAGACAAGTCCTTGTCTTCCTCAACATTATAGAAACATTTGCGTTTCTTAGCATCAACAATTACCTTCTTCCAAATACTCTCACTCTTAACCAAAGTTGGTTCGTTCCCCAATATCCAAAGACAATGCCTGCGTGTGTATACGTAGACACATAACGTACAACAAATTAAACGACTAAAATTCAGACATCTAATCTACAACAGTATGTATTGTAAGAGGAGTACCTTGCACGTGTTAGCATCACATTCGCTCTCTGACGATTCGAGAGGAATCCCACAGATCCATTCTCATTACATCTGACTCTGGAGATTATTATCACATCCTCTTCGCCACCTTGGAATCCGTCAACAGATCGACACTTAGGGCAAAGTCACTAGTTCTAGAATTTGCACTGTATTTTCTGACTCTCGCTTGAATTGCATCAACCTGAGCTTTGTAGGGTGACATTACTCCGACACTAACTTTCTTCTTTGTGCGAGTGAACTCTGCGATCCAGATATAAAAATTACGCATAGAAGAATCTTCAAGAACTCATAACCATAAAATTGTTGGAAATACAAATTAAAAGTCATGTGATCTGTCCATGTGATGCTAACCTTTCTTTACAGCTTGTTTCCAGCAAAATATAATCATCATTGCTCCTTCATTATTCATCCGAATGGTGATGAAAGACAGCAAGTGTGCTGCCATGTGATGTGCTAGCAGGAAGACAGCAGTGTGCTGCCATGTGCTAGTTGAATCTGTGTTATTTGCAGCTGGAAAGACAGCTGATGTGTGCAAGCTGAAAGGTGGTTATTACAACCTGCCATGATGCAATGCATGTGTATGCCAACTATCAAAGTTGCTGCATGTGTTTGAAAGGGTGTAAAGATGTGGAACACCATCATTCATTATATGTATTGTTGGATTGTTTATTTTTTCAGTTTTGTATAAATAGGCCATCTTGCTAAGCCTTAGAGCATCCCATCCAAATCCCATTTCCCATTCATTTAATTTCAGCTTGTAAGCTTTAAGAGTTGTAAACTCTTCTAATATTTCAAAGTGTTTGTTATCACCAAGCTTGCTACTTCTTTCCTTTCTTTGTCCAATTTTATTGAGAGTGAAAGTGAGAGGTGTGATAGAGTTTGTAAACTTATCACCCACATATTTTGGTATTGAGTTAGCAAACTCTTGTGAATACCAACAATTGGTATCAGAGCCAGAATACCATTCTGGCAAGTGCAGTAGCTATGGCGTCCAATTTAGTGCAACTCCAGGTTCCCACATTGAAGAAAGAAAATTATGAAAGATGGTGCATCCAATTCAAAGCATTGTTTGGATCACAGGAGCTATGAGAAGTTGTCAGTAGTGGGTATGTTGTACCCACTGCCGAGCAAGAAGCTGCATATACTGCAAAACAAAGGAACACTCTCAAGGACTTACGAAAGAAGGACCAGAAGGCACTGTATCTTTTATACCAGGGTCTAGAAGATTCAGCGTTCGAGAAGGTTGCAGAAGCAACAACGAGCAAGCAAGTATGGGACACACTCAGTACAATCTACAAAGGAGTAGATCGGGTCAAGAAAGTGAGATTACAGTCACTTCGAGCAGATTTTGAAACTGCTCACATGAATGAAGGAAAGAGCATCTCCGACTATCACTCAAGGCTCATTGTGATAGTAAATCAGATGAGGAGAAATGGCGAGAGACTCGATGAAGTACGAGTTGTGGAGAAGATACTCCGGTCACTCACATCTAAGTTTGAGCATGTGGTGACTGCCATTGAGGAATCTAAGGATTTGGAGGTGATGAGCGCAGAGGAGCTACTAGGATCCCTCCTAGTTCACGAGCAACGCATTAAGAAGAATGCAAGCCCCACAACGCTAGAGCAAGCTTTGGAGTCAAAGTTGAATATTGACAAACCAAATAAAGGTCGTGGGTAGTGGAACTCACGTCATGGGAGTTCATCTAACCGTAGTCGAGGACGAGCTCGAGGAAGAGGTCGAGGCTATGCACAAAATCGAGGTCAGTCTCAGGAGTGGAGATCTACTCGAGGAAAGGCGCATATCCAATGTCACAATTGCAAGCAATATGGACATTATGCCAATGAATGTTCACATAAAAATGGTGAGCATGTCAACATAGCAGAATCAAGTGGAAATACTGATGAAGAACTTACAGTCTTGCTAGCACACCATGATTCCAGTAGCCAACAAGATGTTTGGTATTTGGACTCTGGTGCAAGCAATCACATGTGTGGAAAGAAGGAGTTTTTTGCCGAACTAAAAGATGGGGCCTATGGATCTGTAAGTCTTGGTGACTCCTCAAAGTTGCCAGTTGAAGGCAAAGGGAAGATCAAGATCATCCAGAAGGATGGTAAAGAAGAATACATCTCCGATACCTACTACATACCAGGTATGAAGAGCAACATTCTAAGCATTGGTCAACTGCTCCAGAAAGGGTACATTATACATATGGAGAATATGTTTCTCACTCTCAGGAATGCAAGGAGAAAACTTTGCACGTGTTCAAATGTCAAAGAACCGAATGTTCCCGTTGAAGTTGAACACAAAGATTGGGAGTTGCAACATCGGTGTGATGGAAGATGAGTCATGGAAATGGCATCTTCGATTTGGCCATCTTCATTTCAATGGCCTAAAGTTGTTGTCAAGTGGAGGAATGGTTCGTGGTTTACCCCAGATTGAAGCCACACGCCAAGTATGTGAAGGTTGTGTGCTTGCCAAGCAAGCACGACTATCGTTCCTTGTTGGTGATACATGGAGAGCAAAGGCACCACTGCAGTTGGTGCACACAGATATATGTGGTCCATTGGATCCCATGTCTTATGGAGGTAATAGGTATTTTATTACTTTCATTGATGATTTTAGTAGGAAGACTTGGGTTTACTTTCTCAAGGAGAAGTCGGCTGTGAAGGAAAAATTTTGTCCTAGCTAAGAACATGTAAGAACATTTGAATACATATGCAAACTAATAACACTTTAAAGTAGGCATGCACTCAAAAACAATTCATAAAACCCATGACTTTCAAAGCCTAGTATATGGTGAACCATAAGACTCTTTAACAATATTAAAGAGAATAAGAATTTAGAGATTCTTTACCCTTGAAGCTCATCCTTGATTGCACAAGGGATTCACCCAAGTGGAGGGCCTTCAAGTCACCTCCTTGCTCCTTGGATCTTCCTTGTGATTTCCTCCCTTTTAGTGCTCCTTTTCTTCTTTGAGGATTTGAGGATTTGTTCTCCAAAACACCAAAGGTTTGGTGTCTCTCCACACCAAAGATGTAGTGTGAAGATGAAATGGATGACTTAGGGAAGAAAAGATTGCTAGATGTTCCTCCCCTAAGTGGCCGGCCTCTATGTAGAAAATGAGAGAAAATGTTTCACCCAAATTCTATTAGAAAACCCTAATTTGAAACAAAGCTATAATGTTGATTTTATACTTCATTTCATGTGAGTGGCAAACTTGTAATTAATACAAGTTTGCTACCCCTCACCCTTATGGCCGGCCATATGTTGTTATTGGGCTTAATTGCCCATTTTGTTTTAGTTGTCATACAACTTAAACATAATGGGCCTTGTGGACCAAAACGTTTTTGTGCCCCGAAGCCCAAAACTAACTTAAACGCCCAATACGAACGTTTCGTATAATTAATTAACTATTTAATTAATCTTGACCATTCTTCAATTAAACCATTTAATTGCTTATCCATTTCATATAATTTCTTCACTTATATCCTTACTCGGTGTACGATCCATTAGGTTCCAATTAGCGAGGTAGTGGGCGATGTTACTCTTAACGATCGATTGTGAATTGAAACCACATTTCAATTCTCCCTTAAAATTAGTGTTTGCTAATCTTTAGGGCTTCCACAAACCATGGG